CAATGCACAAGTTACTTAACGGTAGGGAGAGAGAGAGAGAGAGAGAGCGAGAGAGAGAGAGAGTGAGAGCGCGCACTTCTGTTGTGTGATCTTTGATGTTCACTCACTTAGCACGCAACATCATTTATTTTCAACCTTAGGCACACACGACTTTCTGGCGACAGTGAATCTAGCAGCTTGTGTGAAATACGCTAGGCTGTACTATTCTGCATCAGTACAAATACCTGCACGCGTTGCGCATGTTGTGCTGCCAGACTAAGTATTCATAGTTGTGTAAATCCTGTCATACTAACAGCTGTCTAATTTTTGGTTGATTGTAATCTATTACATACCTTTCTATCAAAGTTATCTAACATTATCAAGCTGAATTTGTGCTGACACAGTTTAACTCTGAGTTCTTGTCATATTTTATTACCATTTTCTAAACTATAGCGAATAAACTGTGATAATCTGAGAAATGCTGAAGGTGTCTGAATAAAATTTGGGTTTGACTGTAACTATGCCACCTCCATGCTTGAAGTCACTATGAAACAGCATTTAGTAAAGTGACAAATTTCCACATGACTTTTATCTATCATCAACAAATTATTAGTTTATGAAAAGTAGTCTTTATGGCTATGGCTAGTTGGAATGCCAGCATACTACTCTAACTTCTGTTGCAGTATGTATTATACTATATGTGTTAAAGTATGTATATTGTATACTATATACTATATTATACTATGTATACTACACAATATTTAGATTTTCTGTATGCGTGGAATAATACATCAAAATACACACTATCAGTGTTGTTATTTTAATGAAAACCAAAACTTTAAAATATATTACTGCTAACTGAAATTAATTAAAATATAAATATTACATTAAAAATGTAAGTGAATAATAGAAATGTTGCCTAAATACTCTAAATAATACACTAAATAAAATACAAATAAATTGAGCTATAAACAGATAAAAAACAAAACTAAAAGCACAAAATTAAGCTAAAACTTATATCGGGTGAGTACTGGAAAAAGTGGTATCGGTGCATCCCTAGTACTAACATGTAACAGTTAAGCCATAATAATGTAAGGTGCTGATTACTTGTAAATTTAAAACTGACATCACCTCAAAGCACTTTTGGGTCAATGATAGTGTAACAAGATAACATTTGCTAGCTTACTACACAATCTGAATTTAATGTTAATTTAACAATTGATAATTAATCATTCAAGATGAGCATTTATGGTTAAAAAGTATATAAAAGTTTTTTTGGGTTTTTTTTAGAACATGACCTATCGTTTCACTAGATAAGACCCTTATTCCTTGGCTGGGATCGTGTAAAGCCCATTGAAGCTGCACTGAAACTGCAATTTGGACATTCAGCTTGTTGGGTCCCATTGTTTGCATAATAGGACTAGGTATTATGATCCCAATATTCAGCACCATTTAGCCGCACCATAGAACATATTCTCCTTCGCTGTAAGCAGAACACAGCGAGACGCAGCAATTGTTATGCTCTGATTTTGGTTCAGCAAGAATCCAGGATCATGGCCTAATACATGTCCGTGGTTCTTGCCTCAATACCCAATAATCAGTCGTGAATTTACAATTGCTTTATGCGTGACTGGGCAACAATAAGAAAAAGGACTACTATGGTAAGATGGATAGATGAAGATGGTACAATCTTCACTGCTGTCATCGGGTGAGACTCCTTGACGTTTTGATGATATGTTGTTATGCTGTACATGTGTACTTATATTTCATGTTGTAGCCTGGGTGAAAGATGCCTTTTGTTGAGGTGATGTTGCCAATGACCTTTGTATGGTGTTTTCACCAATGCAACACATCATCAGTTGTGTACCCCTGCCTCATTAGATGTTTCGGCCCTTTATCACAAGACACCCTCAGCCGAGGCAGGCCCACGCCAGACTGATCAGTCCCGGGTGTGTGTTACCTTGTTACATGGTCATTTGGCAGCCCACACTGTGCCCATCCACCTCAGCCACAGCCAGTGGCTGCTTCTTTCAGCGACAGTGGCCAGTTCCCTGACTATCCTCCTCTGGACCTGTCCTCAGATGCCTGACTCCTTCAGCAGCCTTACAGTGGAAATAGCCACAAAGCCCCTGCAGCCCACTTCCACCGGGTATACTTTCACTGTCCAGCCCCGCTCATCTGCCTCAGCTGCCAAATTGGCGCCTCGTTAATGGCCTCTTCCCAAGGGACTGTCAGTTTGACTATTATGACAATCCTACTGGAATTGGGCCAGAGAACCAGGTCTGGGCGCAGTTTGGTGACTGCAATTTCAAATGGGAAAGTGAGTCTGTGGATTAAGTCGACTCGCATTTCCCAGTCCCTGGCTATATTCAGCTGGCCTGCGTCAGGGGACAGGCACTTAGCCTGCTTTTTCTCCCCTTCCCTAATAAAGGACTGCCTTTTTGGTAAGGTATTCTTGGCATTTTGGGGGATGGCGTTTGTTGACACTCTCTTGGTTGAAGTCTATTATATGGAGAAAAGTCCTGGAATGTTTTTCTCAAAAACCTTAACTTCTTTTTGACTGAAGAAAGGAAGACATGAGCATCTTGGATGACATGGGGGTGAGTAAATTATCAGGAAATTATTATTATTCTGGAAGTGAACTAATCCTTTAACTAATGTTAACAAATGAGACCTTATTGTAAAGTGTTACCAAAACGTTTAATTATCCATAAGCATTTGTGAAATAATTATATAAAACCATATTACCAGTAGAGTTCATTTTAACTTATGTATTTGTTTGTCAATCTAACTAATTGAACTGAGCAGTAAAGGATCAGGCTTATAAGATCTATTATCATATTAGTGAGAGAGAGCAGGATATATAAAACTTTTAATGATCTATAAGATTTTTTTTTTTTTTTTTTTTAAATGATTTTAATGCTCTATAAGGATTTCTATAATAATTATGAAACGGTATAGTAACAGTACAGTACATATCAACTGATTCTATGCATTTATTTGTCATTCTAATAGATGGAGACTGATCTGAAAAAGATTAGGCCTAAAAGATGTCTAATCCTAATCCCTCCATCTAGTGGACAACCATAGTATTACAGCCTTCTTCTGTCAGCTGAAATGTCTGATCGTTTTTAATTTTCTGTTGGCCCCTGAGCATTTTAAATTTATGAAACTAAGCATGTTTCCTCAGAATGACTTGTTCTCCATATGAAATTTATTTTGAAGAGTTTGGATAATGGACTTTAAAGATATAAGAAAATTACTTATCTTTTTTACTGTTATTTTTAATAAATCGCCATGACAACACTGTTCAAGATATCCTAAATCCGTTTGCAATTTAGCATCTTCAGGGCCTTGGCATCATGTTGACAAAGTTTGGTGTGAATTGCACGATTCTCCTAGGAGGAGTATGCATTAATTAGGGCCCGAGCACCGCAGTGCGAGGACCCTATTGGAATTGCTCCGTTTATTAGGGCCCGAGCACTGGTGCGAGGACCCTATTGGAATTGCTCCGTTTCTTATTAGGGCCCGAGCGGCGAGGTGCGAGGACCCTATTGGAATTGCTCCGTTTATTATTATTAGGGCCCAAGCCACTAAGGCGCAGGGCCCTATTGATCCCCTAAGGATTTTTTTTTTCAACCTTCCGGGGGTTTTTGGGGGCCTTAACGTACTCAAAAACCCTTGAAAATTGGCACACACGTTGGAATCTGGGGCCATTAGGACGCCGCGGAGGCTAGGACCTGGGCGTGGCACAGGGGCTCTACGGCACCCCCTGGAACACAGTCAGAAATCTTGATGTATATCTCACACATACTTGCAGGTATTCATATGAAACTTGGTACACATATAGATCTCATTGAGCCGAGCAACTTTCACACTGCATGTCATAGGCTCCGCCCAACAGGAAGTTGGCTATTCAGGTCTGTGTAAAAAGTGCATGCTGTGGAATTTGATATACTCGTCATAGGTTTTTTTACCCAATTGCCATTAAACTCAGTGAACATGATCTCAAGACATTGGGGATGCTAAATTGCGAAAGGATTTTTGACATCTCTAACGGTTTGCCCATGGCGAGGCGATGAAGTTATGGTGAGAAATAAGTGTCTAATAACAACCACATACATTATCTGATTTTGATCAAACTTTAGTGGTTTGTTCGTTGTATGATGCCGATCGCATAGATGTGACTATTAGGAGTCAAAGTTATAGCACCACCAATTGGCAGCAGGAA